TAAGGAGGAATGTTGCTTTGTAGTTTCTGACAGTCTCGGTATAGTACCTCCAGTACCCAAATTTACATGTGGTGGGACATAAATGCATGTGTAATCTCTTCCTGATTCCAGTCCGTAAATGTTACTGAGGTTCTTGCAAGATCAAAACTAGATGAGGACAAAAGCCACCAAACTGAGATCAGRTGGCTCTAAAGTATTAAAGAGGACAAATAGTAATCAAGGAAGGAAAAACTAGAAGAGAAGTGATAAGAAATCCCCCTGTTTAAATGAAAGATGTTGGAGTTTTGCATTGAGATAACTTTATGTAGCAAAATGCATTGTGGTCCTGCGAGCAAGACCAGAGCAGCAGCAGCAGCAGGGGTGGGCTTTGGCTGAGGCTGCAGCATTCACCCAGCTGAGATGGGGCCAGAGAGGAGAGAGCACAGCTCTCTGAGGAGGATGAAGGTGGGAGGCAGCAGCASTGGAGGGGCAAAGGCTGTTGGACACTGCTGAGATCAACGGTGTGGTGGAAGGGCCTGCGGTTTTAGGAGGAGCTCCTCCTGCCCCCTGTTATCACAGAATCCTGAAGTAAGCTGAGTTGGAAGGTACACTTTAGGATTATCAAGTCCAATTCCTGGCCCTGCCCCGGACATGCCAAGAGTCACAGCATGTACCTGGGAACATTGTCCAAACACTTCTTGATCTCAAACWGATTTGGTGCTGTGATCACTTTGCCAAAGAGCCCAGCCTCTGGGTGAAAAACATTTTCCTCGTGTCTAACCTAAACCTTCCCTGACACAGCTTCATGCTGTTTCCTTGAGTGCTGTCACTAGTCATGAGAGTGACGAGATCAGTGTCTGTCCCTCTGGTTCCCCTCASGAGGATGTTGAAGGCCACAAGAGGTCTCCCCCCAGTCTCCTCCAGGCTGAAGAGACAAAGTGACCTCAGCCGCTCCTCACACGGCTTCCCCTCCAGACCATTCACCAGCCTTGTGGCCCTTCTCTGGACACTCTAATGGTTTAATGTCTTCTTTATATTGGACACTCAAAACTGCTCACAGGGCTCGAGGTGGGGCCTCCCCAGTGCAGAACAGAGAGGGACATTTCCCTCTCTTGCCTAACTGGCAGTGCTATGCCTCATATCCCCCAGGACATGCTTGGCCCTCCTGGCTGCCAAGGGGGGGCTGCTGCTGACTCACATTCAACTTTCTGTTCATCAGGATCCCCAGGTCCCTTACTGTGGTGCTGCTCTCCAGCATCTCATTCCTTAGTTTGTACATATATCCAGGGTGGTTGCCCCATCCCAGATGCAGAATCCAGCACCTGCCCTTTTTAAACTTCATACATTTGCTGATTGCCCATCTCTCTGATTTGTCAAGGTCTCTCTGCAGGGCCTTTCTGCCCTCAAGGGAGTCCACAGGTCCTCCCAATTTGTTGTTGGCAAACTTACTTAGTATTCCTTCAGTCCTTCATCCTGTTTGTTAAATGAAGATGTTGAAGAGAATTGGGCCAAGGAAGGGCCCTGTTGAACCCCACTAATGACAGGGCACCAGCCTGGTATAACCCCATTTCCTACAACTCTTTCTGCCTGACCTGTGATCCAGTTGCTCATCCATTGCATAACACAGTTTTCCAGCTGTGTGCTGAACATTTTGTCCAGAAGGATACTGTGAGAGACAGTATCAAAAGCCCCACTGAAGTAGAAAAAGATTGCATGTACTGGCTCGCTTAGATCAACTAGGATAGGAAATCAGGTTTGACAAGCAGTACTTCTCCCTCATGAACCCATGCTGGCTGTGCCTGATGACTGCATTTTCCTCCAGGTGTTTTTCAATACTTCCCAGAATAATCTCTTCCATGATTTTATTGGGCATTGAAGTGAGACTGACAGGTCTGTATTTCCCAGGCTCTTCCTTCTTGCCTTGCTTGAAAATCACAATGACGTTGACTTTCTTCCAGTCAGCTGGAACCTCTTCTGATTCCCAAGACTGCTTAAAAATCATTGAGGGAGGCCTTGCAATGACATCAGCTATCTCTTTGAGGATTCTTKGATGAATCACATCAGGTCCCATAAATTTGTAGGGATCAAGTTGAAGCAGCAGATCCTGCACAAGTTCAGGGTCAGCTGAGAGATGATTATTCTGAAAGTCATGCTCCTCCAGCTCAGGGCACTGAGACACCTTGGTTTGTCATCTGTGTTGAAGATGGAGGCAGAGAATATGTTAAACACCTGTCGTGCCCATGTCCCTGTTTGTGAAGTGGCCATCCTCATCCTGTTATGGGCCAATGTTATTTTCCCACTGCCTATTGTCATTAATAGATTAAAAAAAATGTTTTTATTGTTCCTCTGGCCAGCTTTATCTCCAGTGCGGTTTGGCCACACTAATTTTCTCCCTAGAGTGGCAAACAGCATCTCTGTATTCTTCCTGTGTCACCTGACCTTGCTTGCAATGGACTTTCTTATATCTTTCTTTTCCATCTCACTTCCAAGAGAACATCCCTGTTCAAGTAAGCTGGCCTTCTGTCTCGTCTGCTTCACTTGCAACATTTGGGAATTGCCTGCTCCTGTGCCCTTAGGAGTGATGTTTAAAAACTAAGCAGGGTGGATGGACCCCAGCATCTTCAAAAGTGTTTTCCCAGGGAACTTTACTCACGAATTCCCTGAGCAGCCTGAAGTCTGCTCTCCTCATGGCCAGAGTTGAAGTTTTGCTGGCACTTTTCCTCCTGTCAACAGAGGTTTTAAATTCCATCGCTTTGTGGCCAAGATGGCCACCAATCACTGTGCTCCCGAGGTCCTGTTGACAAGCATTAGATCAAGGAAGGAGGGCATCTTTCTGACATGGCTGTCATAGGACCTGTTCCATAAAGTTGCCATCCATGTTTTTTAGGGTCATCTGACTCGGGTTGTACCATCASTGTGATGCTCCCAGTTAATTTCTGGCAAGTTRATGTCCCCCATGAGGACAAGRGCAGTTTACTTGGAAGCATCCCTTAGTTACTCAAAGAATAATTAGTCATCCTCTCTATRGGTCTGCAGTAGACTCTCACARTGACATCCACATTATTTGTTTGCCCCTTGATTCTCACCCAGAGGCTCCTGACTGTGCCATTAYCAACGGTGAGCTCCATTCCAACCCTTTTATTACATACAGTGCTACCCCCTGCCTCTTCTGCCCTGCCTATCCTCCTGAAGAGCCTGACACTGACCAACTGGGCACTCCAGTAGTCACGGGACGTGTCCCACCAGGTTTCACTTATGCCAACAATATCAACTCTCTGGGACAGAGTGAAAGCTTCCAGGTCATCATTGTTCAAGCTGTGTTCATCGGTATCAAAACATTTCCATGTGTGGGACTTTGTACCAACACCTTGTGAAGCAGAAGGAGCAATCCCCTTAGTGCTTCTTTCCTCAAGTTTTGGCACACAATCCCACTGTTTATCACTGGCCAAACTGGTGTTTTCCCTTTCCCTTTTCTAGTCTAGTTTAAAGCTCTGTCAATGAGCCCTGCTAGCTCCTGTGTTAGAACTCCATTTCCCCTTTGAGAAAGGTTCATTCTGTCAGGTGTCAGTTGACCAGGTATTGAATAGATATCCCACAGTCAAAAAACCCAATCGTTTTTTTTGCCTAGCAGCCTCAGAGACATGCATTGACTTGATGGATCTGCCTGTTCCTACCTGAAACAATGAAATTCCTTGTTACAGGATCCTAAATAACACTGTCTGTGTTCCTGATCCATCAACCAATTGTCCCAAGGCTCTGGTGTCTCTGTTAATTGAGTGAACTGCACAGGATGAGTTTGACAGAAAGCCTTTATTAGTAAAGGTGTTCTCTTGGGACAGAAATCATTCTGGGTCTTCAGGAGGACCAGCAGTGACATCCATGTAGGCAAATTCCTCATTCATGACTCCTTG